AAAAGCAAGATCGAGATAAACTCGAGGATTACCGGAGAGCTCAACTCGAGGGATTCTACGAAAGGACAGCCGGAGAGTCGATCGGCAGCCTTGAGATCCTCGTTGGGTCCCGGGAGCGTCGCCGCGAACGTGGGGATCGAAATAAGAAGCAGATACGAAGAAAGAAAGAGATACGAAACGCGTCCTTCGAAGGGAACTGCGATTCAACGGAGGTGAAACTTAAAAGGACAAAATCGCATATTTACCCCTTAATTTTTAGTTTAATACGCAACTATCATTTGCATAATAATAAACGATGAAACTTCAAATTATATTAAAAATGTTATTGAAAAAATATGAGATAGAATTTAAATAATAGTATTTTAATTATTTTACCCCTTTAAGATTAAGCTTTCGATGGAAGTATTAAAGAATATTTTTTTATTTTAATAATAGTTAATCAATAGAATAATAACCAAGAAAATTCAAATAATATCAATATTATTAAAAAATATGAAATATATTTTTGGATATTAGTTTACCCGTTTAAGGTTAAGTTTTCAATGAAAGTATTAAAGAACATTTCAAATGCTATATTAGATTGGATAGGGGTAAATATGTTATTTTCAAATTTAAAAGGGAAATTTATGTAAAAGCATCAACTTGCTCTTCCTGACTTGCTGGTTAAGCACTACATGTGTGTTGGCTTATAATTAAGGCCACAACTTTTTCCATATGTTTTGGGAAAATAATATATTTTATTATAAAACTTTTCTATGTAAAAATTAAAATTTATGACAAATTTTCTTTTTTTCCATTTCCCTTGCAAAGTTGCTCTTAGTGACAAACTTAATGGTTTACTTTTAGTTTAAGATGGCGCATAATATATATATATATATATATATATATATATATATATATGTGTATATATATACATATATATGTATATATATATATATATATGTGTATATATATATATATATGTATATATATATATATGTATATATATATATATAATATGGACGAGTGATTTTTTTAAAGAAAACTCTATTTTGGTTTTTTTTTAATGTGTCTTTTGTTTTCTTAAATAAAACATTGTTGTAGTTTTCACTGCCCTCGTCTCTCTTTTCCGCTCTATCCGCAAGTCTTAAGTCATTCTCCTTCTCTCCCTTAATTCTATCCATTTTTTTATTGTCTCTATCGTTGTCATATCTTTTGCACGGTAAAACTTATCAATAATGGCAGTACTGCTCTTGTTGATGATAATGGAGGCATAACTACTATCTTGATGCGGAGCCGGTGTTAGAGAGGTCGGATCTTGGGTAGTTATAGGGAGAGAATGCATAATAAGAACAAGAGCCTTACGATGGGACGAATGTAATAAGGGTCTCACGATGGTGATGAATGATAACAAAAAGTATTTACAAGATTATAAAAAATAAAAGTACTATTTACGAAAATCGAAAACAAAAGTATTTATCGAAAAATCCCAAAACAAAAAAGATTTTTTTAAGAATACTATCCTATAAGAAATTTATAATTAATCATAATCTAAAACCATGTTTCTCTAAATAATATACGTGAATAATTTGGTGGATTATATAAAAATTTCTCTCATCGAACACTTACAAACGTGATGTGGGCTACTTTGCCATGGCAACAAACTTGTCTCCATGATGAACAATCGGAAACAACATATCATTTGTCTTTCGTTTCAATAGAATATGATGTTAAATAGATTGTATATAGTATGTGAGATGCCTTCGTTAGAGTTTAATATAGCTTGAGGTATTTCATGACCGCTTAAAGTTTTACAATTAATGATCATCCAATCACAATATTTAAAATGCTATTAGAGCAAATTGTTAATATAGATCTTGTATCTATTCTTTTTTTTATCTCATCTTTTATTTAATTATTATTTGTATAATATTATTTTTTTCTAATTGGTTTGTCACTTTTCAAGTGTGATCCAACTGGTACACTAGAGAATATCATAATTCAATATAGTCATTTCCCAAAATATTAAGTTTGTAACATTATTGATTATATTGAATATAGCTTATTTGTATTTTGGATATCCCCACTTAATAGCCAAGGGTCTCCTTTTTTTTTTAATATATATTTTTTATTTCTACATTATATATTTTCTATTATATATATATGTATATATTATATTTTAAAAAAAATAAATAAAAAAAAACTAAATTTTAATAATTTGAATGGGAAAGTATACTTTTGCATTACAACAAAGTGAATAAAGAAACTAAGAAGGTTATTCTTTGATCCTCCGAGATGATTTGGTGTTACATGAGTAATAATTCTTTGGCTATTCTTTGATCCTCCGAGAAGGTTATTCTTTGATCCTCCGAGATGATTTGGTGTTACATGAGTAATAAGTCGCTAATCGATTAGCTTGCACTATTTTTTCTCTAAATACATGAGTAATAATTCTTTAATTTTTTCTAATCATGCAGATATTGTATTCATAGCTTGACATGTTAAGATGATAATAATAGATGATAAATATTTCTATTTTCTCTTACCTTTTGTATGTGTCTTACATATTAAGAGTTCTTAGCAAGGCATAAATGACCAGAAACAAGGGCTTGTGGCCAACAGTTAACATCAATAAGGAGGCTACTTTCTCCTTGAACATGTGACTCGCAGCACAAGACTGCCAAAGTCTACTGCAGGCATCAACTTGCAACTACGGATACAGCCAGGGATGGAGGAATCCTATTATCTTTCCGACGACACATTGACACACAGTATTGCCAAAAACAACTGCAGGACTATAAACCACTCTGTCCTCCACAAGATTGTTGAGCTGCAAAAGCCATTCAAACCACTTCATCCCCTCCGACTATATACAAACAATTGCTTCCCATGAGCAACACAGGGAAGTGTTTGTCTGATGATGGGATATATTGTGTATGGTGTGAGTCTGCAAGAATGACAAACTTTGCCTGTGCTTATGGAACTCCTGTGTCTCACAATTTCTATCGAAATCTATTAGATCAAGTGAAAGAAAAATGATTATAGATACAAAAATAGGTAACCTTAGTCCTCAAGCTAAAAACAAAAAGATGATGCTTGTAGCCATATCAATTATGACCCCTACCATTTGATTATTATCCCCAGTTGGCGCACTCTCTTTTGAAAGAAGCCCTTGTAGTTAATATAATAATTTGTAATTTTGTTTCATGGTTTATGGATGAAAAAGGGCTATAATCTTGAAAGAGAACAAATTTGCTCTTTTAGATTTTTATATAACACATAAGTCTTTTGACATATTAAAGTCCCTTACTTGTGTTCCTTCCATTAACATCCACTAAAAAAATTCAGACTAATCATTGTTAATTATCATTAATATCAAGCAATTTAATATATATATATATATATATACATATAATAATAATAATAATAATAAAGTACTCAATCCACAAAGTAGGTGACATAGTAGGGAAGTGAAAGGATGTAATTGAAATATAGTGATTTCCAGATTCAATGAATTCACAATTGAAAGGATACACTTAATAATTCTAATACACATCAACTTCCTTGAATTCCATGATCACCATGATGCTATAAATACTTAGTACGTCATCATTAATTTTTAATAGACTCGATACTTATCAAGTTCTTTCAGATCATTTACTAATTTAAGTATCAAAAGATTTTATCTAGCATACTCTTGTAAGATCTTGATTCGTTTGATTCAGTATTTTCAATACTAATCTATCTGTGATAAACATAAAAAAAAAGAGATCATAGTTGCATCTAAATCATCCTTGTGGGAATAACTGGTACTAATATTTTCGCTAATTTTACAGGTCTTCCTATTTATACCTTTAAAAAAAGAAAAGTCAGTAATAAAATAATAATTACGTACGATGCATGTGTGTTTTAAAAGATCATGCGACTGTGCCAGATCGGCACCTCCCACTTTATCCACGTCTACAGCTCACAGTTTTTGGTGCATGCTATTTTGTCCTCCACGTAACTCTACATGCAGTTTTCGAGTTCTTTCGTGGGTTACTGTGGATCCAAATCACGTGGTTGGATCGTGACCACAGCGTTCAACACGAGCTCCCCACGTGTCCCGACAACTCCTGTTGCCGGACGCGTCGCCATAGGAATGGGTTTTACGCCGCGTGGCCGTACTCCGATCGTGACCGTCACGTGCACTAACGGTGGAAGAGCCCAAACTCACGACCGCAGATTTGATGGAAACCACGCCGTCCCCACCGCAGCAGGTGGAGGCGGGCCCCCACTTCGATCGAGTCGTGCGAGTGTTGACTCGCCTCCCTAACATCACACGTGGCGGTTACTTGTGCGACCTCCCAACCGCCAATCATCTCGCAGGATCGCTTTGCAAACGGTAGATTGGACATGACATTTTTTTGTCCCTATGTTGGTTAAGAACTTGAAATGTATGTTTGTACATGCGGAATATTATTAAGCTTTCTATTATCATTAGTGTACGATAAGAACAATTGGATGACTATCATCAAATGACCTGACGATGCTATGTTTAGTAGTACATCACTCATTTTATCGAACACCGCGAGACACGAGCAAAGTCGAGCTCGATGATGTGTTTGACAAAGTGGCCGCAAAACATAAGTGGACGCCAGGAACTGCCTACACGGGTGACGACAGAGCAAACAACTTATGTAACGAATGCAGCGCGTGGAAGGGGGGGCCGCTTTTGCGGAGCGGTGCGGTGTCGTCGGTCATGGCTTAAGTCGGGTTATGAACGTCATCAGTTTCTGTGGAGATTTCCGTAGAGTTACTCGCTCACGGGCGTTTCGGTACTTTTAATGCAGCATTACGGTTGCTTGAGGGGGAAGGCCGTCTCGGGAAGGAGGGGAAGCCAACAACATGGGCGGAGCCGCGGAGAGGACTGGAAAACAAGCGGTATAGTTAAATCGCCTTCCCTTCGCCAACCTATAGGGCTATTGCTCTCCCTTCATGCCTCGGAGTCCGGTTTTCTCCTTCAGTGGCCCGCGGTTTTGCTGTTCCCTTCCCACGTTTATATGTCCGCTCCCTGCCTCCCCCTTCCTCTCGCCAAAATTCTATATATATTTTCCGCTGCGATCCTTGTTCTGAGATTAATCGCTCCAAGAACGGCATTTTCTCGTTTTTCCTGCGATATTGGATCGTCGGAGCCGATAAAGTTGGAATCTTGGGGGGGTCGCGGTGTCGGAGTCGAAGTGCTGAGTGCGAAAAATTGCGTCTCGGAGAGAGTTTCCGCGGTACGGATGAAAGTGCAAGTAGAGGCGAGAAATGGGGAGGAGGAGAAGCGAGCGGCGGGAGCGAAGAGGAATGCAGGGAGACTGGTGAGGAAGCGCGGGTGTAGCAGGCGGACACGGCGGCGGGTGCAGGCCACCTCCACCGCGATCCAGCGGCTGTTCTTGGCCTGCAAGACGGTGTTCAAGGGTCCCGGCACGGTGCCCGAGCCTGCCGACGTCCAAATGCTGCAGCTTCTCTTAGGTATCCTCCTCCGAGAACCCTCCTCTTTGGATCGCTTTGAGCGAATTCGTTTCGATCGAACTGCTCGGTTTCGTTTAAGACGAGTCTTGTCAATAGATTCGATCTGTGACTAATTGTTCTTTTACCAATCTGTAGTGATACCTACAGCATCTTGCCGTGCTCTGTTTTGCTTACATTTGCAGTCCAACCTCACTGTGTATTTGTTTGGCCTAATACATAGGTCTTTGCTTTTGCTTTCTTCTGAATCCAGACTCCGGTTGTTCAGGCATCGAGTCATTTTTTGCTTCATGGATGAGATCCATGGGGCTGGATTTTTGGTCGAATCACACTATTCCTTGATCTAGTAATATATGCTAATTTACGGGCATATTACGTGAATTGCATAATCTTGTTACACACTGTTCTCTCTTACTTGAGATCAGCTATATATACTAACCTTCTGATGTTTTATCTCCAGATAAAATGAGACCAGAAGATGTCGGCCTAAGCACAGATGTTCTCTTCTTTAAGGCCAAAAGTTCTTCCAAAGGAGCAAGGATCACATATTCCACGATATACAAGTGCCGAAACTTTTCGGTAAGACTTGAGAAAATAGAATTGTTACCAGAGACATGCTTTGCTTTCTTAAAAATTGTATCCCAAGCAAGAAACGTTTAATTTGCAAGAACTGTGCCTTGAGGTGCGTCTTGATATGATGGTAAAATTTCTATTAGCAACCTTAGATATTAGGATTCGAGTCGTGGAAGCATTGATTGGAGCCTTAAATATTGATAGAATGAACATAATTGCTTAACACACTCTTGTTGAAAATGTTCTTTTCCTTTGCAGATGTGTATATTCTTCTTGCCCCCATCTGCAGTGATTCCTCTTCATGACCACCCTGGGATGACTGTCTTCAGCAAACTGCTCCTGGGGTCGATGCATATAAGATCTTATGACTGGCTTGATTCTACACCCTCAGCTAAGTGTGAGCTCTCTCTCTCTCTCTCTCTCTCTCTCTGATTTCTTTCATGTCACATATCTTTCAGTTCATTGGCTTATAATGTAAGCTGTGTGTTGCAGTGAGACCGGCAAAGTTGGTAGTGGATTCTGATTTCACCGCTCCTTGCGACACTTCAATTCTTTATCCAACAACTGGAGGTAACATCCATTCCTTCACAGCCATCACACCGTGCGCTGTGCTCGACGTTCTAGGACCACCTTACTCGAGAGAAGACGACCGTGACATTACATACTATCGCGACTATCCCGGTAAGCAGTTTCCATGTGTTGCCTCGAGTCTTTCTGCCTTGTATCCATGTCGTATGCTCCGTGTTTGTTTCTTCTGATATGCTTCATAGTTGCTCCTTACTTCCATGATTAGTGTTGCCAAGCAATTAGGTAGATTCATAATGAAATTAAACTTCATCCTGGAGAGACATTTATGAATTTAGTAGTTGTCTCTATGTAGCCCATTGAATCCCTTCCTTTTGCATCAGTCCATTATATTAGATAGGATACCAGATAGCTTCTCTATAAAATACCGAAAACCGTGTGCTACTTTGGCTGCATGATGCCGTAATACTGACTTCATTCAGAGCTATCATTTGTTATCAATGTATTTATAATCTTCTTGGTGAAGAAGAGTGGCATCCTATTCCTAGCTATGAGACATCAAGAATACTGCTGGATTAGCAGTTTGAATATGTTAGAACCATTTACTTCAACAAAAACTACATATAAAAGTAGTTCTTAGTTTGATGATTCACGAGCCAATAATTTCTGTTCATTCACTGACCGAGTTTGGTGAACACTTTTCAGATGAAAATGGAGTCAAGGATCATTGTCTGGGATGGTTGGAAGAAATCGATATTTCAGAGGATTTGAAGATGGATGGTGTGGAATATCTCGGCCCACAAGTCATCGATGGTTGACACCAGTTCTAACAAGTTTTAGATCAGCCATGACATTGACTCTCCTTTTCCTTCTCTTTAGTGGTTTTCCTTGTGTGTCTGATGTGTAAAGTTATAATTGTTTTTGGGTTGATATCATAATATAATTGTTTTTCGTTGCAAAAGATTTGATACATGATTGTAGAAATAATATAGGTAATAATTAATAAAAGTGGATTAATATTAAGTAAAACATTTAGCCTCTAACTTTAATTTAGAGGAAAAAGCATGAAAATAATTTATTCTGGGAGGAATATTTTGTATGTGTAATTCTATTTCTGAAAGCCACAAACTATATTATTTGTGATTATTCTGAGAACATCAAAAATAAGTTTCACGTGATGGCAACGCACACAAAAATCTTTAGATACGGTCAGCTGAGCCCAAACCAAAAGCAGTCGACCAATCAAAGACTTCCACGTGTGTATATCCAATAAATGATCGGTTGAGGAACACACGTGCATCGACTAAATGGACGGTGATGGAAGATCTCACAGCACTCTTTCCGACCCCTATCTTGATCTCCCTGGACGTATCGCTGCAGCGGGGGAATCACGATTTGGACGGGCTTCGAGCTGCTCCGGTCTCCTCATCCTCATCCTCTGCGACCCACAAGAATTCGAAGCGAATCCGGAAACCCTGACGAAACCCTAGCAATTCGGAACCCCCAAATCCGTCGAATTCGTCCTCCAATGAGCGCTTCCCACCCCCCCGATCTCCCGTCTTGCTGATTCGTAGGTCTTCGTCGTCGTCCGCTTCGGAGGAATTGGAGCATCCATGGGAACCCTGCCGAGCTCTTGTTTCTTCAATCCGAGCTTGCGGCCCCGCCAGTTAGCCCCCGGCGGGAGATGCAGAGAGAGGTATTCGGTTATGGAGCGGGTGAGTCCGGGAGAGCTGTGCTTTTTGTGCAGGAAGAGAGTACAAGAGTGGAGAATTAGGAGGCGCTTTGATGGGATTATGTGCTTCTCTATAAATGGGAATGATGGCGGCAGTGAAGAGAAGGGGCCGAGTAGTAAGTCGACTGAAGAAGTGGAGCAGATTGCTGCCGACGAGGACCTGAACTCGGAGCCGACCCAGACTTCGTTTCCTTCTAGGGTACATCAGTTTCACTGTTTCTTCGATTCTCATTGACTTATGCGATAAATAAGCCAAATAAGTTGATTGAAATGTTTCTTCTTTTTTCAAATGGTCTTTTGACCAATTAGTTTATCACTTTGGACGATGATATATTTTTTTCAAACGCAAACGTGATTTATCAAGCATCAATCTACATTAAAGTACTTTTCCATTTTTAAATTTTAGAAGATGCATGGATAACCCTTTTGGTTATCATTATTTTCCATCGCAGCATTACATTTATCATTGATTTTTTTTTTGAATTATATCGACTAAAATGTAGGTAAAGTGAATCATTGTAATGCCTTAAACTGGCCATGTTTTTTTGGGAGGTCTATTAGCAAAGGGCTAAAATGCACTAGAAAAATAGGATATTAATTAGTTGTTGAACTTTATAAATTTGAATCATATAAAAGAAAAGGAGAAATGAATGATGCTTAGTGCAAGATGCTAGATTGTATATATTTCAAAGCATATTAAAGGTATTTTCTTTTAGTTAATGCTGTTTGTAGTCTAAATTTATAGGTAGCCCTTAGCTAATTCCTATAAATGATATGTGCCATTCTAGAGCAGTGCTTAGTCAGAATCAAAATTCTGTATGCCTCTCTTTGCTGTTAGTTAACCATGATTGTGAACTATTTTGGAACCTGACATTTAATATGAAATCTCTTATGGCAGACTAAAAAAATACAGTACCTATAGCACTCTTTTAATTCATGAATTAGATACATAGTGGTATATTAACGAAGATACTGTGCCTGTTATATTGAGCAACAGGACAATACTATTAAACATTTGATGCATTAGCTCTTGCCCGAAAATCACTTTTGCAGTTTAGTTTCAAATTTTCATGGTAGCAAGGACAATGGGTTTATTGATACAATTTTGACTACTCCAAACCTTGACAGTTTCTGGCTTTAGTCTTACATGGTCTTCTACAGTTTATATTAGAAGTGTAATTTACCAAGTAAGCACAAGACACAGATAATGTGTTCATACAATGGAGTGTTACTTCTCTATCTATCCAGTCGTATTTGCACATCATATGGTATGACTATTATCGGGGAAGAGAGACCACAGTATTAAGCCAGATGCTTGTTGTCTGAAAGGACCATAATGTTAGACTCAGAGACTTCTCAAATGCAGGATATATATGTACAACACATAGTAACAGAACACACTATGATTTTGACTTCTGAGAATACGCTTTCTGTAGGTTTCACTGTTTCACAGACTAGTCACTAAGATGAGATGGAGGTTATCTTGAGTCGTTCTTTATGAGTCCTGACACAATGTACCTTTGGATTAGGGAGATGGCATGTGGCTATCAACATACTTAGCTAGTTAAAGATACTTGGAATGTCTTTGGTCGATATTTTTTGGAAGATCCTTACTGGTCGCAGTACATTAAAACTCTATACACCTGGGGTGAACTCACAATTGTGGCTTAAAGATGACACTGCTGTAATTTGTGGAACTATGATTGATCCATGCTTCACGGTAGCTATCCTAATGCTAATTCTATAGATGACATAGATGGGTAATTTGTAATGTCTTTTCTACGTAAGTTTTCTCAGAATGTATGATTGTTTTCTTGTTGCTTTTGGCTTTTTGATATTTCCTTATTCTTGATTTCTTTCCAGACACCTAGTATATCCTCGGGAGAACAAGTTTATAGTAGCTTTCAAGTTGATTCTTTCAAGCTTCTGGAACTGCTTGGACCAGAGAAGGTGGATCCATCTGATGTGAAGCTCATTAAAGAAAAACTTTTTGGCTACTCAACTTTTTGGGTCACCAGAGAGGAACCATTTGGGGACCTTGGGGAAGGTATCCTGTTTCTTGGCAACCTGCGGGGAAAAAGAGAAAATGTTTTTGCCAAACTTCAGCAGCACCTCCATGAAGTTACTGGGGAGAAGTACAATCTATTTATGGTAGAGGAGCCCAACTCGGAAGGACTAGACCCACGTGGTGGGCCACGTGTAAGTTTTGGATTGCTGCGGAAAGAAGTTTCTGAGCCAGGACCCACTACACTATGGCAATATGTTATTGCTCTCCTTCTCTTTGTGCTAACTATTGGCTCCTGTGTAGAGCTAGGAATTGCATCTCAGGTACATTATGCTTGAAAGTTTGAGCACTTATGTGTGAGGTTCTTTTTTTTATCAACTTTTGGAGCATCACTATCCCAAGTGTTGCGTTGCACAGATAAACACTCTTCCACCCGAGGTAGTCAAGTACTTTACCGATCCAAATGCTACTGAACCACCTGATATGCAGCTTCTGTACCCCTTTGTGGATTCTGCTTTACCGCTGGCATATGGTGTCCTTGGTGTTCAGCTATTTCATGTAACTAAAGTTTCCCACATGCGATTAAGTATTATTTCATTCCGAAAGAAAATTATCAACTTTATTACTTTTTAATTATTCTATTGTGATGATTGTTGATTAATTGAAGAGATCAGGAGAGTAACATATTACACTACCATATTTTCTTTCAACAAAATGCAGCTGTTTGTGTTTTGTTCACAATGTCAATAATTGTGTATTATCTCTTGGGAACTTGAGGATCATAAGTTGAGCTTGTCCATAAACATACATATAACGGTGATTCCCTGATTCAAACATCAAAATAAACTAATTATTTGTTATTATTATTATATTTGTTATAATGACAACTGCCTGAAGAACAGGATGTGAATGTATCTACTCATAGGAGTCTCTGAACACTATGAAAGTTATGCTCTGTGGTGTTTGCTCAGATGAGCTTTTTACAGCACAAGCATGTGTTGTTGATTTGTATGTGGCTGGAAGTGTTCAGTCTTACTTGCATTGCTACTGGAGGTAGTGATCATGTTTTGTTATTCTGTTAGGTTTCATTGAACTATAGAGAAAACTGCACTTTTTTCAGCCTATATTCTTATCATATTTCTAGCTTATGAGGTATGTGGTTTACATTGTGTTTTGTCATACCAAAAACCATGGAAAGCTTGAATAGAAAATTCTTCTTTCTCTATTGTGCAATTTGAATGCATCTTTAGTCATTTTCATGTTTAAATGGCATATCTCTTAAACTTCATGTTAGGATAATTGTACTTATGCTGATTAATCTTATTATCCTCTGCAGGAGGTTGGACATTTTTTAGCGGCATTTCCAAAGAAAGTGAAATTGGGGATTCCTTTCTTCATTCCGAACATTACCCTTGGCAGCTTTGGAGCAATTACTCAGGTGGGCATAATCAACATTTTGAAGGAATCATAATAAATTGTGTTGTGGATTTCTAAATTTGTTTTTCAAAATTATATATATTATCAAGAAAGTTCTAGTTATGTTGTCTCTGTAAACTAGTTACTGTTTACGTGCTTTGGACTCCTAAGATGTCTATATTAGTTATCTGGGTGTTTCTTGTATTATGGTGGTTTAGAAATATTAATCAAATATTCAAGGTGATAATCATGTATAATCCTTCTTAATAAAAAGGTTAGAACTGCAAGTGTTTCCATCTTCTTATAGACAATCACCACTACATACCGAAAGGTATTTTCCACAAAATCCTTTTCAAACTCTATTGTAGTATACATAAAACTTGGTTCATATTTACCCATAAACATGTTGAACGTACAGCTATCATTCTCTTATTCCTTTTTATTTTTGCTCAAAACTCTGGATAATGGACTGATCCTGACTCTAGGTCTTAATTGTTGACGTCGAAGCATGACCTACTTGGTTTTCATATATTCATCTGGCTAAAAAATCTCCAGCTTTATGAGTCCAGCTTGTTTTCTGCTTTGCCTATGGCATTTCATGATAACTCTTCAATTTCATTATCATGACTTCTTCAGTCTTTTAAGCATATCTTGCCCAAACTACTTTGCATCTTTATATTTCCTTCGAGCTTTATTGCTATATGTGGAATTCTTAAAGCTCCTCCTATTAGTAAATTTGGTGTACTCAATGAAAAGTGGGGTTGCTTTCCTATGATTATACTACAATATTCTTAATTGTTATCAATATTTTCCTCCATTAACGTGTTTCATCTAAGAATTATTTTTATTCGTGAACAACTAAGTATCGCTTCGATAAAAGATAAAATGAGAGAAAATCGTTTAAAATAATATGAGCATGTGCCTAGGAGATCTTCGAATGCCCTAGTCAAAAAAAGTGAAATGATTAATGTTAGTGGTATGAGGGGAGGCAGAGGAAGACCTAAAAAGACTTTAATAGAAACTATAAAGAAAGATCTAAGTAATCTGAACTTAACTAAACATATGACTTTTTATCGATCTCAATGACGGCAAAAGATCCATGTAGCCGACCCCAAATAGTTTGAACTTACAGTTTTATTGTTGTTGTTGTAGTACCATATTTATTTGAGAAGAAAAGAAGATAATGAAGTCACATATGAAGGGATACGAACGTTTAAACTCTAAAGTATCAGGAATCAAAATGCGTTTTTTTTTCATACCTCAAGAACTTGAACATTACTGGTGTTCAGATCTTTCCTCTTAGTATCTATCCTGTTTGGGAACTGAAATTATCATAAGTCCATCAACATAGAAAAGTTCATATTTTTAGATTCATCAATGAAGGTTGGTACTTGTTTGTCATCAAAACATAGTATTACTTGTTAGAATTGTTTCCCATTGACACTGCTTTAGTTTATTAGGCCTGGAGGAGAGAATTTATATTTTTTCTGAATGTTGGTGCTATGTATCTAAGAAAGCCAAGGACCTATTATCCAATAGTTTGGTTTAAGAGTTCTCTTATGGACATCCCAAACGTTGGTGACACTGCTTCGGTTCCTTTTTTTCACTCAGTATCTGAATATTCCAAGTGAGATTACTTGGTTTTCCTCTGTAAGGAATCTCAATATGTAGTGTTAATTAACATCACAAGTTTATTGTTTGTTCACTGACATTAGTTTGCCTCCTGCATTGCCTCTTGTTAATGAGTATGCACATGCTAGCAGCTTATTGCTGTATAAGTACTTCTGCTCACTGACATTAGTTTTCCTCTTGCAATGCTTCTTTGACTTGTATATATGTAGATATGATGCAAAAGCATAATGACATTAATAAACTCAAGCTTTTTAGGTCATAACTAGATTCCTTTTAGTGCAGGTTTTGATTCTGTATTCATAGCTTCTTTTTTAGGTGCAGTTTATGTCTAGTTTCGAGTCATATGTCATTCTATAAACCAAAGGGAATGTTTTACGATCATAGTTAGTTGAGGGGCTTATTTGTGGAGCGTTCACTTAATGGGCCTAAATGGTGGCTGCTTCCTTGAGGGGCTTTTCGTCTTGTTTTCCTATCCAAACTGTAGCCCATATGTGGGACTATACAATCCACAGATTACACTGGTCCAAGTGTTTTTCCATTTGAAGTTGTGAAGTAGCAAACTGCCTTTTAGACTTTAAAATAACAAAATGTGGACTTTGTTTAACCTGAAATCTCACTATTTAGCCTTCGACAAGGCCCTAGTAACCTGCATTAGCATGTCCTTATCCTAACCTATTGTTGCAGTGCAGTTTTTTTTGTGTTTCAACAAGTTTCCTTGATGATGAACAAAAAAAATGCACAGCTGTATTTTTTTGGTTTAATTGTGTGTCTATGGCCTAAGTTTCAACAAAATGTACCAAAGCTGCTGTTTTGCTAATTGTCCTCCATCAAATGGTGTCAGAGATTCTGGTTTAGTCATGATTTTCAACCAATATGGCCTAAATTTACTGGTTTAGTCTTCGTATTCTCAATGTTTACAGTAATTCAAGTGAAAATTACTTTCAGAACAATAAGGATTGCTAATAATTCATGTCACACTTTTGTAGTTTCTTCTTTCATTGTGCAGCAATGTTATATTTACACCTAGCTTTGTTTCTAACTTTATATATAGCATGTAATGAAATAGGTTGATCTCATATTGCTCATATTTCACTATTAACTCCTGTAGTTCAAATCTATTCTTCCTGATCGAAGGACGAAGGTTGACATCTCAATGGCGGGTCCATTGGCCGGTGCTGCACTTTCCTTTTCAATGTTTTTTGTTGGCTTGTTGTTGTCCTCAAATAATGCTGCAGCAGGAGATCTGGTGCAAGTCCCTAGTATGCTATTTCAGGGCTCACTGCTTCTTGGACTCATCAGCAGAGCCACTCTTGGTTACACGTAAGCTTTTTCCCTTTTGATCTTGATGCAATCTTATCTTTATAGAAAAAGAAAAGATATTGGTTAAGTTGGTTACAGAATGCAGAATGACCCTTTTAAAAGTATCTCTTATGAAAGCATGCCCTGAATTGAATTTCTTTTCACCCACCTACAGTGCACATATTGTTACATAATTGATTGGGTCACCGTAAATTCCTATTCTCTTTTTGTGTCATCTCTTAATCTACCCGATTGGTGCCGTGACTGCACAGTTTTTTTCTGGTTGTTAGTTGTTTGCTTCTTTAACATATCATTTTGCTTCTGTTCATCCCAATACTCCATTAAATGGTGCCTCTTGGTCCAACCAGGGTTAGGCTATTGTTTGGTCCCCTGTTTCGTATGGAAGAGGTCAAAGGAAAAGGTACCATGTTTGGACCTTGAAACATTGTTAACATATCTAATTTTATTGTGGCGGGCCTCTTGCCTTTGTTCCCCTCCCTGCCCACCTCCCCCTCTCTGTTGTTTCTTCTTGATTTGTTGCCAGTTTGAATGTGGTCACTAATGTAATTAGAAACTGCCTGACTGTTCTCTAAGGTACTAAATACCTACAGCCTTATGAGTAGCTAGAGCTCTCTATAATCACAGAGGTGTATTGTAGCAATTGCTTTCTTTATTTGCCTTTCTAAATGAATTTCTAAAATGTCATTTAACTATTCCAAGTTCAGAGAGTCAGGTTTAACAAAAAATGAAGCTTTTCTCTTATGGATTATCTTCTTTGCTCTACAATGTCAGTATATAACTAACATATATCTACTATGAGTTTACAGAGCTATGCATGCCGCTAATGTTTCAATCCACCCCCTCGTAATTGCTGGCTGGTGAAGCATCCTACAATTTTCATTTACTGTCTTTCATCATAGATATTTGTGGGTACTAATCCTTTGTTCGGTTATTAAAGGTGTGGTTTGACTACTTCAGCTTTCAATATGCTTCCTGTGGGCTGCCTTGATGGTGGAAGAGCTATGCAGGTACAAGTTGTCATCTTCAAGCCAAGAAACAGTATAGAATGTGACACAGGAAGTAATAAATAAAATCTGGAATGCCTAAAATATATACAATTAATAACAGCTTCATTAGTATATAAGAGGTGCTCCATTTCTTCTCGCTTTAAGTTGGTTCTGAGTACTTGTTCTATATATCTCTGTATATTGAGAATGCTTCAACCCTAGAGACTTGTTCACAAATTTGGAGGATTGGGAAGCCACTTAGAGCTTTGAAACTTATTAAGGATTTTATAGGACATGAGTGAACTCTTACTATCTTCAAATCTGAACTCTATTTGTGGCATTTGTTACTTTGCCCATGTCAAGATATGGTTCTTTTTAATTTATTCACCATTCAATGATTTCGTGTTTGTATTACATTTCTATTCGGTGGGCCATTTTGATTGTCAGCTGCTTGGATTGTCTTGTTTGCATTTGTTCCATCGTAAAAGTTTGATACAGTCCATTTTTCAGTTGTGTCTTCTCTTACTCTATGTTGTGTGATTTTCTAGAAACTGCATTTTTCTCTCTCCCTTGGTGGCATAACTTCACCACATCTCTTACAGGGTGCATTTGGTAAAAACACATTGTTTGGCTTTGGCTTGGCCACATACTCCTTGCTTGGTCTCGGTGTGGTATGATTCTTGTCATTTTCCTTTAATCATTTTTTAGTTGTTGATGTGTTCTTGTAGCCTTGAGCTATCTTATGGTTTTTATCTGGTTCAGTAGAATAGCTGCACTCTGTTTGACCTTATCAACTATCTTTGTAAGGATTTTGAATCATCCTTGTTAAGAATGTAAATCAATAGATCATTTCTCATTTATTGGCCTAATCTTTTAGAGATGCAATGACACTGATAAAAATAATAATAATAAGATATCACCAAGACAAAAGATATAGTGTTTAAAACTCATCCAACTCATGTTTATAAATATATATCCCCAATTAATTCAAATTCCACCTGACTGTGAAGAGTATCAAGAATATAATAGAATGAAATCATATAATGCTGAATGAATTCTGTTGAAGGCATTCATATAATTAGACTAAATCATGCATCTAACTTGATTCTGATCTTCTCTTTTGTAGCTTGGTGGACCACTTTCACTTCCTTGGGGCTTGTACGTTCTAATATGCCAGGTGGGATTTATAGAGGATGATGTTTGTGTTCCTTCTCTCATCTCCATTTTTGTCATCCCTAATTCTCCTTAGCAAATTGTGCACTTGAATGTAGAGGGCGTCAGAGAAGCCTTGCTTGAATGATGTGTCGGAAGTTGGAACATGGAGGAGAACAGCGGTAACGATCGCCATTATTCTTGTTGTCTTGACTCTCCTCCCATTGTGGGACGAGCTAGCAGAGGAGCTCGGCATAGGACTTGTGACTTCGTTTTGAGGTAATTGTAACTCCAATTTTTGACTAAAATCAATTTCACACACAAATGAGGTGGTTTTTCTTTTTGACACTATTTATATCGTGTAATGCCAATCTTTCTCCTTTCGACCTTTGTATCTCCTTTTTCGCAATTTGTATTCACTTTCATAAGCCAAAAATATAATTTTAGCAATCAAAAGCATGACTTTTTTTGCCTGAATATTCTGTTGGTCACAGCCAAAATATAAAAAGACATTGCGTATACGCACGCATACATGAAGTTATTTAGAATCTGAAAACTTGCATGTATGTCATTGTAGTTAATTTACTTAACTTGTGAGTTAATTGCTTAATATCCTTTAATATTTTAAAATATTTGGAATATTTTATATTTATTCTTTTAGAACAAATAAACCAATGCTGATGATTGTTAGAAGTTCTTTATATATATATATATATATATATTTTTTTTTTTTTTTTTGCCAGGATCAATTATCTTTATGAACTGATCCAATACAACGGTCAAAAGTATTTTTAATCTTTCATGTTAGGGACACTTTGGGATATAGAGAAAGTAGAGACACTCATAGAGAAAAATAAAGAGACGCCAACCCAAAACACCTAAAATAATGAAAATTTTCAAAAAAAAATCCTTTAATCATCAAGAACGAGAAAATTTCAGATAATTATTATAGGAAGAGGAAGAACCTTTGTCTCTTCAATCTCATGTACATCACAGCCATATACATGTACAAGGAGAACAAATGCAAAATAATTTAGCTTACAGCAAATGCTTAACGAATACACACCAAAACCTCACTTCAAGCATAGCCTGCTCCTCTCTTATGATTTACTTTCTAAAAACCCTTTTGAAGAATTCTGGTCAAGAAACTAGCAACATGTGGGATCATGTTATTTCAGTTCCTTTGCACTTGTGTGGATGATGAGAAAATAATGAAACTTCCTAATGCGGTCTCTCAGACATCAAATTCTGTAGAAAATCTCAGCTCAGCAAGAGTTCTTGCACCATCAAACCAGGTATATTTTAGAGATGGAAAAGCTGCGACCAGGAAGAGTCTGCATGAGAGAGAGCCAGAGGTCGACCGCCCGATACCCTGATACAACCTGGGAATGCCACTCTCACCAATAGTCACCACAGGAGCAAGCACCATCTTTAAAATGATGGAATCTTTTTGCATCTCTGCCGACAATCTCCTGCTTGACAATCTTATGAACTTGGGTGGCGGTGTGGCAATCTACACACACTCTCAAGTTCTTAATCACCCTCAACACTTCACCATCTCCTGTGCCTAAGATCCCAAATGCAATGGCTAATCGCTCGCTATGGCCACAGAGCATGTCATCCTTGTGTTCCTCATCCAATTTGCTTAGCACACATTTTATCTCCGGCACATAATGCTCGATACGCATCCTCTTTTCAAGGTCCTTGAGAAAATTGTATATCTCGTTCGACCTAGGGTGCGACTTATCGAACGCAAGGAAGATGTGCATTTGACCTCCAATCTCGATCAAACTCCATCCAGGAGGCTTTGATATCCTATTCTCCTTCATCAGAAGCCTCATCCTTGCAACACCATCCCAACATCTCATAAACGCATAGATGTTAGACATCAGGACGTACCGACCTGCATAACCAGGGTCGATCCTCAGAATCTGTTCGATGACTCGCTCACCAATGTCAACATTCCCGTAAATTTTGCAGGCATTAAGAAGGCCACACCAAACACTTGCATCAGGCTCCACGTCCATGTTTCCAATGAACTCCTCAGCCTCATCCAGTCTACCTGCTCGACCAAGCTTATCAACCATGGAACTGTGGTGCTCCAGAGTAGACTTAAAACCATACTGTTGGATCATTCTGCGATAGTATTGTTGACCCTTTTGAACCAGCCCTTTATGGCTGAATCCCATCAAAAGCCCCATGAAGGTGACACCATCGGACCTAAAGAGAAGCTCTGCATCTTCAGCTAGTCTATGCATCCCATATCCACAAATGATGGCAGTCCAACTGATCAAATCTCTCTCAGGTATTCCATCGAACACCCTTCGAGATTCTTTAATGCTACCGCACCGAGCATACGTGTTTATCAGAGCTGCGCCCAAGTGAACAGTGATCTCCATGCTGGCCCGCAGGACTTGTTTCTGAGCCTATCTTCCTCGTTGCAGGGCACCGAGATAGGAACAAGCCTGCAACACACCGACCATGGTCATCGCATCGAATTGGACTGCGGATTCTTGCATTTGGTTGAATATGGATATCGCTTGCTTATATTCACCGTTCAACACGTACCTGATAGACAAAGGATCCAATTATATCAGATAGTTAAATAAATTGCACCACAAGATAATATAAAAACGAGACTTTTTCCGGTGAATTCTTACAAGGGCAGCAAAAGAAGCCATAGCTCACCCAACAATCAGAGCGTTAAAGCTCGCGGTACCTCGCACGGGCATTCCGTCAAACACCTTCCTCGCCACGCGTACGTCACCACACTTCCCATACATATCGACGAGCGCGGTTGCGACGAAGACGTTGGAGCCGCACCCGAAGCTCAGCACGTTTCCGTGGGCCCTACGGCCCTCGGAGGCTGACCGCGCACCGGCGCAGGCCGGGAGGACGAAGGTGAAGGTGAACTCGTTCGGCCGCACGCCGCGCACGAGCATCCGGTCGCACACGTCAACGGCCTCCCAGAAGCGTCGGAGCACCCTTTGATGGTCTTGTTCCAGAGGAAGACCGGCGGGGGGCAGGTCATCGGACGCGAGGTAGGCGTGGGCGAGGCTGGACTCGAGGATTCTTGCGTGGAGTTGGGGGAGGACGAAAGAGGAGGAGCGGCGGAGGAGGGAAAGAAGAGACTTGAAGCCGTCATGAGGCAGCGGTGCGTGGTGATGGAGTCGGGGGAGGTGGTGGTGGTTTGAGAGAGGGTGCGTTTTGCTCAGCCTCGATTCTTGCGACTTGTGTTCGACCTTTTGCTTGCTTTCATGGTCTGTGGCTGAGGAGATTACAATTGATTTAGTAGTAGTTGTTAGCTTAATGCTGTTAATCTCCATGTTGAAATAGGATTTCTTATGCCACACTACAACAAGAAGCACCAGTGGTCTAGTGGTAGAATAGTACCCTGCCACGGTACAGACCCGGGTTCGATTCCCGGCTGGTGCAGATGAATTTTTTACCAATTAAAAAGAAATATCGAAGCGAAAATTAGATCTACCATATAGAAGTAAAAAGGAAAAATGGAAGGGATTTTTCTTTCATCATCATAATAAAAAAATTGGAATTTCCTTGGAAAATATTATATATTTTTAGTAACAAATAAATATTTGATGACAAATAAATATTTTTTTAGTAAAAAAAAAGGGCCTCTTTTTCTATGGTTTGACTTTCTAAGGGCAGCTTAAATACTTAATGGTTGACCCTGGAAGGATCTCATTGCCTCGGCATAAAAATGCCTACTTTCGAAATACTGCTTACACACAACCCCTCTCTACTCGCGTTTCTCCCTCGAATGGATCGATTTCTTGCCCCCGAGCACTCTCGGAACTGTAGATTTTGCCCAGGAAGCGCCGAGTTTGGTGTCATGATTGGAAGCACCAGTAGATCCTTCTCCCGCTACCTTTCTGCTCTGCTTTCTTGCTGGGTTGTGCCTCTGATCGTATGAAATATCAGTTTTTGCATTTTTCTTAATCTCCTTCATTGCAACCGTTTACAATTAGATCTTAAACTGTTATTTTTTCCTTTAAAAAAAAAGAAAAAAAACTGTTGAGTTCTCTGCGTTTCTAATTTGAGCTAGAAGAAAACTCATTATAAATATCGATCGGATTAGGTTTGAAGTAATCAGAAATCTATGGTCTGTTCGTGGGATTTGAAGCACATATATCGTCTTATTTTGGAGAAGTTATTCTGATCTTTTTACTGGGGAAAAGGAGGGATTTTCGAAGCAGTGGATATGGCCGATCAGGGTTCGCAGGGGAAGCAGCTACTTTCCAGGCATCCATCTGGAGTTGTTTTCACTATCCAGTAAGTTCATCTCTTCCACCTTTAGCTGGAGAGGAAAAAAAAGTTTCTTTGCTTTGCATTGAAGACTTGCTCGCAAGATTTATGCTCTACCTGAAAATTATGAATCATGAGTTACATGTATAAAGCAGCACATTTGTTTTGTTTTACGAAAATTGTTTTAACAACCACCATCAGGAAAATATTGTTTGGACAACTCATATAGTATTGGTTGCAATTGTTGAATTAGTATTCTCATATATCCAGGACACTACTATAGTGTATGGATATGTAAATTCACCATGTTCCTCTCAGTTAAGACCAGAATGTTTGCTCAGCTTCTGTCAAAATGAGATGAGGAATTGTTAATATGTCAGTCACTTCAGGTCTCATTTTTCTTCTGAAGTCCTAGGGTTTATACAGAGTTAAAGGTCTTACCAATTTGCTCTGTTCTATGTGGTTAACATGACTCTTAAGCATTGTTACAATCTGCAATTGGGACCAGCTGTTGGAGATTGCTGTTGTTTGGGACAGACATCTAATGATTAAAACGATAAAAAAGACATCAAAGAATTTAGTGCATACAAATGAGACATAGGATGATCTTTTCTGGCAGATAACATTGTCCATAGATGAAGCTTTAAGTATTGATTCTATCTCTACTTTTAATTGAATATTTCAAGAATTTATGATACATTTTTATTTCCGTAGATGTTTTTTTTGTCTGGAATACGTTACGGGATGTCCATGTGTCGTGCTTATATGCTTTTTTTGGTTGAACTCACAGGAATGTTGTTTCAACAGTAAACATGGATTGTAAGTTGGATCTTAAGACCATAGCTCTACTAGCCCGTAATTCAGAGTACAATCCCAAGGTACAGAAAAGAAGATTGCTTTTGGATCATGAAGCATTCTTACTTTCTGCTTTTGTATTTTTCGTGATTGCTTTACTATGTGCTTTATAATGTGCTATTGGATCATTTTTTTATGTCTACTAAAGAAATACCGAAATAGGTGGATACTATTAAATGTTCTTTTTTTCCCTTCTGATTTAGCCTATCAATCTCGGTTTTCCTATCCTGAGGCATGTCTCATTTGTGTTATTATTAAAATTAATACACAAATTGATGTTGAAGGCAATGCTGTCAAAGTTAAATTTGTTCTCCAGCTTCATGAAACAAGCTTTGGTTAGAAAGGATAACATAATAAACTTGTTGTCAACACTGCTCGACCCACTTAAACAGCCTGGGTCTCACCATTTAAACATAATGCATTGGTAGCAGGATGCGATCTCTACCAGATCCACACATGAGAAAGTGTTAGTGCAACTATGCAGAACAAGAACATTTTGATTAATTTCTGGTTAAGGAGGCCAATTTGCCAAAAATGCAAGTTCCTAAACATATGGTTAAAAGACCCAGCTGTTTGAGGATAACCTTATAGGCTAGTTTCTGTTGAATTTATGGGTGGGACATGTTAAGAATTATTATATAGATTAAGTTAAATAATCAAGTTCCTTGAATAGTTTACAAGTTTCAAGCTTTTCAGTTATTTTGGCATTCACTACACCTGATGGAGTCGAGCAAAATGAAGGAAAAAAATTAAACTATAGTGTACATGTTATGTAACTCTTTGGCCCATATCTTCAGTTTTAACACAATAGTGCTTTTGTATATGTTTTTAAGTCAATATTATATATTGTGTGTGTGTGTGTAAAATAAGTATTACATAACATTACTTCGGCATCTTGTTTGTTGATTACATTGCATCTCTTTTTTCTTTCTGATGTATGTAGCGTTTTGCTGCAATCATAATGAGAATACGAGAACCAAAAACCACAGCATTGATGTTCGCATCTGGACAAATGGTAAGTGGAACTTGCTTTGCACATATGATCTCTACATAATTTTTGTCTTTTGATTTCAGTGTTTATCACCCGTATCATTTCACCTTGACTTATTTAAAATGCCAATAGAATTACTTTCATAATTTATTTTTCATTGGCAATACAATGCTCAATCTTTATAAAAAATCTGTGTACCTGGTTTCAGTCTTTAATTTGGTGGGGACATAAGGTTATAATACCTACCGACAGAATTACTATCAGCCCAAGGTCAGACCATTAAGTGGGCTACCTGGTTTCAGGGTATTAATTGCTGTTGAACCAGTTGAAAGTAGCAAGTTTCTTTTGGTTTTGTTCAGGCATTGGACCACCTCTGTAAATGAATGACATTTGAAAGTCAGAGTTCTTCTTTTTCCTATTTATGGCTTCTGCTTTATGTTTTATAGCTTTTAGTATATTAAGGCTTATTACCTTGCAAAACCTTGAACGTCTAAAGGTTTATAACCTTGTAAAAGAATCAGGATTTAGTATTTCCAATGACAAACAATGAATTCTACCTTTAGCTGTAATACATGACCATAAAGTTTATTGTGAAATTCTTTATTTGGTGAATGGAACTCCAAAGGCATGAGCTTTTCTTGTCATCCATAATGAGAACGACACTGAACTTGCCTCTTCTGTCAGGTTTGTACTGGAGCAAAGAGCGAGCAGCAATCGAAGCTCGCAGCACGGAAGGTATACTACAAAATTAAGAGGTTTCCTGTAATTTTCTATACGTATTTGTACCCTGCTTATCAAATAAAGTTTGACTGTGTTCATTAAGTCTCATATTTTCTGGCCTTCAGTTTGCTCGTATTGTCCAGAAGCTTGGCTTCCCAGCCAAATTCAAGGTTCTTGATGCTTTCTGCCTTCCTGCATGCTCTCTTTATTAGTTTTTCAACTTTTCTGCTTTTTCTGTCTAATTTGTCTTGCAATATGTAGGATTTTAAAATCCAGAATATGCTTAGTTCATGTGACATCAAGTTTCCCATAAGGCTTGAGGGCCTTTCCTATTCTCATGATGCCTTCTGTAGTGTAAGTTTTTGTTCTTCTACACGCTCAAGAATAATTTACCCAATAGTTGCATGTCCACATGTTTTCCTGTTTCCCTTATTTCCTTTTTACTTTATCAAATTGTTTAATAGTTAGAATTCAGTGGTAGCATTTGTATTGTAAGCTTAGGTAATAGTTGGAATCTCAGCTACTCTATGCTCAGATCATATGAGGAATTTTACTGTCTTCATTAGAATAAAGTTCATTCACTTGCGTTATGCTTAAATTTGATGAAACATCAAAGTTGCTTCCATACTGCTATTATACATATCCTTCTTTTGTGGGCTTGTATTCCTAAAAGCAGCTGCATGAATGTTACCTCTAACAGTATGAACCAGAGATCTTTCCTGGTCTGATATATCGGATGAGACAATCAAGGATGGTACTTCTCATTTTTGCTTCTGGCAAGATTATTCTCACTGGGGCTAAGGTGATGTGCTCAAAGCTTTAACTCGAATGCATGTCATTGGTATCTATTATTTATTCGTCATCCTTAATCCAATTCAGTCGGAAGATGACACACATGCTGCGTTTGAGAATATCTATCCAGTCCTTACAGAATTCAGGAAAATCCAGCAATGGTATGTTTTTGTATGCTCACTTCAATAAAAAATTATCTAATCTGATGCAAGCTGGCATTGCGACATTTTGTTGTTTTAATGCATTAGACTGCATACAAAAACTTAGTGTCACTTAGAATCTTCACAACAAAGGACTCATAGCCGCTGCCTAGATCAGAATGATCTGTTGAGAATGCTGTGAGCTGCACTGAGGCTTTGCATTTGAAATCTTTTGAACTTTCAACTGCCACATATTTTGAAATATACTTGTGACCTACAACTTACTATTGATCCACTGATTGAACAGTCATCATCATTAGCTTTCTATTGTCATTTTAGTTTATGAAATGTTTACTAAGAACTCTAAAGACTAATTTCTTTTTCTTTCAATTTGCTTCCTGTATGCAGATGTTATCAGGAATTTGGAGCAAACTGGGATGGTTTTCTTGATAGTTGCTATATATCATCAAACTTATATAGATAAATTACATCCTTTGAAACCAATAAATGATGAATACATGAAGAGAAAACCCTGTGTGAGGCTCCTGCCTTTATTATTTTGCTGAACAATTTGTTGAACAGTGAGGGCACACAACTTTATTATGGAAATTGTGATCAATCAAGGATGCAGCTTTTCATATAGAACATGTTGTTTGGGGAATTCATAATTCTTAAATATGTGATGCAAAAATATATACTAACTTTTGGATTGTTCTTCTACTTTTACACAAATTATAGCAAAAAGCACGATTTATAATGAGGACTGCACTCTCATGTCGATCGATGGTGTCGATATGTTGTATGTCGGTACATGCCGATAGATTTAAAAAATAATTAAAATTTTCTAAGTATCTGAAAAATAGTAAAATACTTAAATTACAGCCCCTCCCCCTCCCTTCTCAGCTCCTTCTCTACTAATCACTTGAGGAGAGCTGTTGAGAACCTTCTTTCCATTTCCCACTCGTATTATCATTTTCAAACGTTCCTTAACTATAGTTTCATAAATTAAATAGAGATTACTCCTATATTATCTCTGCTAGATCGAAATCCATCAGTTGTTCAATATATACGGGTCTTTTCCATCTAATTGAAAATTGATATATCCCAATATTGATAGTACAATCAACCATCACCGAACCATAGAATCAGCAGAGAGCAAATTATACATGACCATGTCCTTGCTTTCCCCCTCTCAACGCAAGATAGCTTCTGAGCACAGCCTCTCTCTGGAACCCAGCCTTCTCCAGCACCCTCCGAGAGGCAGTGTTGTTCACCTCGGCTATGGCGTCGAGCCTCTCCAGAAACGGCCACTCTTCGAAGACGGCAGACGCCGCCTTCTTCACCGCTGCGGTGGCGATTCCGTGGCCCCAGTAGTCGTAGGCGATGGCGAAGCCGATCGAGGCTCGGTGGACGTCAGCCCCCGGAGCCGGCATAACGGAGACTAAGCCCACCGGCCGGCCGTCATCGTCGATGCAAATGGCGCGGCACCACGGGTGAGGCATGATGAGGTCCTTCATGTGAGTCAGGCACTCGTCCTTGGTAGTGCACGTAGGTCTACGTGAGAAGCGCATAACGCGGTCGTCGGTCGCCCATGTCATGAAGTCGTCGACGTCGGAGAGCGTGAATGGCCGGAGGGTGATCTCAGGGACGGTCTTCTTCTCTTCTCTATCTTCTTCTTCTTTTGCTCCCACACCCTTGTGTTGATCCATTTGAGAAAGCTTTAGTACGTGCCAACAAGAGAAGCAGCTTTCATTTATATGCGTTTGAAGGATGTAATCTAGTTGAGATTTGAGACATGATTCTAATACAATAGGCGACCACAGGAGTGAAAGCACCATATCAATATCAATTCTCCGGTTTGGATGAAATAGACGGGCGAATTTATCATATGCATAAAAGGACAGATTTAGGTGGCCGCCATGGTTTACTGCTAAGATTCTTCAGCTGTAGGAACTTTGTTATCTGGTCACTGTTTTCTTCCGCTAGTCGTCACCGTACCAAAAAGAAGTTATCATGGAAAAGCCAAAAGAAGTAGTGTTTGGGTCAAAGGAATAACCCATAAAAGCTCGAAATAATAAAAAGATAATAATTATCTTTTAATTTGATTTGATTTGATTTTTTAGGATTAAATTAATTTTTTTCAGAGTTGAACTGAATTAAATTAGTTCAACTAAATTCTAACTATTTAATTGATTTAATTAAATTTTAAATTATTTTTATCTCCATCACCTCCTTTTTTCTCTCACTCCAACTCTAATAATGCATCTTTTTCCTCCTCCCCTCCCCATAGATTCAACATAACAAATTACTATTTTAAAAATTAAATATTTTAAATAAATAATAATAATAATAATAAACATATTACATCTCATCTTAGTAATTCTAAAGAAGTTTAAATAGCTTTGATAAAAAAATTAAAAAATTATATTTGAGTTACAATCACATTATAATCCAAAACTATCCTATTTTAAAAATTAATTATCCTAAATTCATACAAAAAATAAAAAAAGTGACCAAACATATTATCATCTTACCTTAATAATTATAAAAAATTTTAAAAAGATTTGATAAAAATTCAAAGAGTTACGCTTGATCATCAATTTAACCCAAAAATATTATATTAAAAATTATTCATCCTAAGTATATAAAAAAATAATATTAAATATCTTAGAATCATGCGCTAGTAGTTCTAAAAAAAATTAGATTGGTTTAATAAAAATATTTTAGTTATATTTAAGTTACACTCAGATTCAATAATATTCAACTCGATCGAATCTAAATCAACCTAACCTGAATGATAATCATATCGGATCGAGTCGACTAATGGGTTAATAACTTGAAATAGCTCGGTTCAAAAATATTATTAAATTTTTTTATAAAAGATAATATCTCTTAGTAAAAATCAATTCTGTGAGCTATAAACCTAATACTAAAGATTTTTTTCTTATAAATTATTCAAAAAATAATGTGAATTCACAAACAAGTGCCTAAAGATAATTTAATAGATACTAGATTTAGTGCCATAATTCTTGGTCAGTGGGAATTCTGGTGCTTTAACACCTATGTGACTGTGCTGTTTGTTTGGGTAAAAAGCAAAGGTAAAACTAACAAATATCAAGATTTTTTTTATTTTTATTGTAGATTAAATATGAATGATTAGGATCAGATACTATGTGGTATCGATATATCAATCAAGCAACATAACATAAAGATGGCCCTTCTAGAGGAGTAAAAATAATGCTTGAAGCATGCATGCAGTAATTGACACAAGAATAAGATTGGTTCAGTAAACAAGAATAAGATTGAGTGAGAACGGAATTGACACATGAAAGTGGCTGTAAAGGATATCATGAAGGATGATTCAACTCCATGAATGAGTAGCTGACAGCAGGCAAGTAAAACTTGTATTATACAGCTTAATATTATATCTTTTGTTTTGATATATGCTTTTGATGATTGTAAATCATCACAAGATTGATCACAGTGACCTAAATGAGTCTTATTTGAGTCATAAAAATAATAATTTTATTTATATATAGGAGTTAAAGATGATATATAGTTCGATTTTACTTGCTCGAGTAATTTGGAACTAATAACTTGAAGAAGAAAAGTATTATTTTTGCTCAAACACACCCAAGTGGAAGGAATTCGGCCATACAAAACCTACAAAGGTACTGTTACATAAACTCCCAACAATCACTTTTATTTCTATCACTAACAATTACAATCAATCCATTAGATGATGAAATAATAAAATATATTTCAAACCAACAAATAAATAAATATATATATATTTCAATCAATCCATCAAGGAACAATGTATTGTTGATTTGATGCTTAGATGGAGACCGTAAGGATCTCGAGTCGAGCTAAAGACTTCGAAATCCAAAGCAGACAAATTTAGCTTTCTTTAGTTACATGATTAAACTACGATTATTCATTCACCTTATTTTGCTACAAAAGTAGCGTGACATTTCATACGAAAGCCCCATGCCGTCCTTCTCGTCTCCTCCGACACGTCTCGTCCATGCGCCACACTTGCCCCACGCGAGCTCCTCGTGCTGGCTGTGGAGGCGACATCGCATCCCCACACGTGTAACGTCACTCACTGCTTTCATCCGCGCTCTGGCCTTATCGGCCTTTTCGTCCCTCTCGCTCTCCCCTAACACGTAGCGATGCATGCACTCATCCCTCCCGCCACGTTCCCACCATGCGCGTCGCTCTCTCTCCATCTACACCACCTCATCCCCCACACACCTTTTCTTTCTCTATAAATCCGACTCTCTTCCCTCTCGAGATTGTAACGATCTCTGCAGAAGTCGTTCAGCATGGTGGCCAAATCGGAAGCTTTTCTTCTTTGCCTTACCGTCCTCGTCTTGTCGGCCACTGTAGTTCTGGGTTACCGCGGTCTCGGTGTCGACAACCCGCAGGATCCCGAGCAGCGGCTGCAGCAGTGCAGGCAGCAGTGCCAGCAGCAGCAGCGCGGCCAGGAGCAGCGGATTCAGTGCCAGCACCGGTGCGAAGACCGGTACCAAGAAGAAATGCGGGAGCGTGGGCGGCCCGGACAGGGTGGCGACGATGACCCCGCTCGGCGGCGGTTCGATGATTGCAGGCAGCGGTGCGGGCACCAGCACCCACACGACGAACAGCAGCGCAGGCAGTGCGAGAGCCGGTGCGAGGCGCAGTACGAGGAAGAGCGAAGGGGGCGGCGGGAGGTCGCTGTTGGAGTACAAACCCACGAAGATCCTGAAAGGCGATACCGGCAATGCCGCCAGGAGTGCACGCAGAGAGCACAAGATAAGAGGCAGCTACAACAGTGCGAGCATCGGTGCGAGGAGGAGTACAAAGAACAGCGCCACCGTGAAGGTAACCCTCGCCAGAAGAAGGAAGAGACGACGACTGGGGAGAGGAACCCCTACTTCTTCGATCGAGATAGCTTCTATGAACAAGTGAGGACGGAGCATGGTCATGTCATGGTCCTCGAAAACTTCTTGGAGAAGTCGGAGTTCCTACTGGGGATCGCCAACTACCGCATCGCTATAGTTGGGTTGAATCCTCGTGCGTTCTTGGTGCCTCATCACTTGGATGCTGATGCAATCTACTATGTCGCGAGAGGTATATACCTCCATTGCTGCTGTGTTATAATTTGCTTATACGTGGATGAACCAAGCTAATATTTCAGTGTCACTTGTTGACTTCTTCAGGGTGTGGAGTCTTAACTTTGGTATGCGAAGAGAAGAAGGAAACGCATGAGCTCCGCCGGGGAGATATCCTGGAGGCGCCGGCAGGAGCAATTATTTACATGATCAACAAAGACAGCAATGAGGAGTTTCTCTTGATCAAGCTCCTTCATCCGGTTTCTACACCTGGCCGCTTCGAGGTAGATTATGTCGATTGAATATTCTTTTCATCGGATGCAATATCTTCAACTCTTTGTTACTGTGCAGGTCTTCTATGGTGCTGGAGGACAAAATCCTAAGTCGTTCTTCCCGAGTTTCAGCGACGAAATCTTGGAAGCTGCCTTCAACGTACCTATTCCTCTGCCTGTTAGATCGTGTCTTCTATGTCGCGTGTGATTACAGCAATGTGTCGTTTTGTAGACGCGACGAGATCGATTGAGCAGAATCTTTGGGCAACAGCGGAAAGGAGGCATTGTGGAGGCGTCCGAGGAGCAGGTCCGCGCACTGAGCCGCCACGCCTCCGAGGGTGGCCAATGGCCGTTTGGCGAATCTAAGGGTCCATTCAATCTCCTCGAGAAGCGACCGATCTATTCGAGCAGACGGGGACAGATGCACGAGGCCGACGGCGACGACTACCGGCCGCTTAAACAGTTGGACCTCCGAGTCTCCCATTTTAACCTTACCGAGGTATATATGTCCTATGCTGATCCCGTCCCCCGTGCTTATCATGGTCATTCATTCTCTCCCTGGTGGGGGATGATGTTAGGGTCTTTATTGCAGGGCTCCATGGTTGCACCATTCTACGACTCCAGGTCGACAAAGATCGCCGTAATACTGGAAGGAAGTGGCTACGTCGAGACTATATGCCCTCATTTGTCTGAGCGAGGCAGGAGCAGGGAGGAGGGCGGAGAAAGACACGAGGGCCGGGAAGGAGGTCAGCGCTATCAAAAGGTCCGCTCCCAGGTCTCGCGCGGCACCGTGGCCATCATCCCTCCGGGCCACCCTTCAGTGACCGTCGCTTCGCGCGGCCGAAACCTCGAGGTCGTATGCTTCGAGATCCGCGCCGAGAGGAACGTGAGGAACTTCCTCGCAGGTACTTGGCTCGATATGACGATCGCCATCGTCATCGCCATCGCCATTGCCATCGCCACCATCACATCTAATCCGTCGGTGCTCGTGTTCATGAACGCTTATCGGTGTTTGCTGCGCAGGGAGGAACAATGTGTTGAAGCAGCTGGATAGGGAGGCCAAGGAGCTGGCGTTCGACATGCCGGCCAGGGAGGTGGAGGAGGTGCTCAACGCGCAGGGCGATCAGATCATCGTCGCCGGCCCGGAGGAGCGGGAGCGCCGTGAACGTCCGCTGCTCCCCATGCTCGAGATCGCCGAGGCTTTTATGTGAGGAGGGGAGAAGCGTGTTTGATGTACGTAGCAGTAGAGGGCGCTAAAATAAGTGTTGTGAGCGCGTAGGAAGTGTTTATGAGAAGAGAGGGCACTGCGTGTATGAAATGTAAATGCATGCAACAAATAAAATGTTATCCACGAGTACAACCAACGAAACGTTTCTCGGCCTTATAACTACTGCTTGTGATTGCTATTAAATGAATTAATTTTATGGTACATATTATTTGATTTTATATAAATTAAATATATTTTTAATTAGAATAGTTGTTCACATGCATCGCCACTGTAATATCGCACGTGCTGGAATCGTTCGTAATTAATCGAATGCAGTTCGGCCGGGCCGGATTGGGGTTAGGTCCATTTACGGCTCTACCACAAAGCGATGTACTCGAGAAATCGTAGTAGGAAGGTCTAATTCTAACCCGAAGGTCCTGGAAACGGGAGGGCTCGTCGCCGGCGACAACAAGCGCCGCATCATCGAACAGCTTGGTTTCCATTTAGGTAACACTGTTGGATCGTTTGTGCTTTCTGTTGTTTCTTTTGTTTGAAGCAAAACCTTGCATTTATAAGTTTCTTAGCGTCTCTTATTTCTAAAGTTTTCAGTGAAAAAGGGATTTTTTTCGTAGGTGTTGTATGTGATTTCACGGACATGTTTTTTTTTTTTGAATAATTTCGAATCTTTGATATCCGTTCATATTTTCTTCCCTTTCCCTTCGGAATTCCCAGAATCTGGATCTTTTTTCTTCCTTTTTTTGTGGTGTTTTTGGGACATCCCTGGGACTAGTAGGATGAAAGAAAAGAGGGTAATTCCAATGAAAAGAGCGTTTCTTTATTGTTGATTGTTACATAGTGATGAATGCGAGAAGCTGGGTGTATCCGGTAAGTTCTGATAATACTGGTAAATTGGAATTAACATGCAGAAAATTGGATCAAGTTTTAATATGAATCCAAGCAACAAGAAGAAGTTGTAATTCACCAGTTTACTGGATATAGTTCTAATTTTAGATTGCAAAGATGATGGAAGAGAAAGGTGGGTGGGTAGGTAACTTGCAATGATTATCTCGACGGATGTGAAACGGGCGTGACAAGTCGTCACCATAGTTACCATGCTTTTCAACTTTACATGGGAGTAGGGTACCAAGAAAGAGCATGACTGTCAGAGTACAGGGATCAAGTTTTTCTTTTTGTAAATTTAAAGGTGGTTGAGAGGCAATGCTAATTGTTTTACATAATTAATTAATCAAGAAAAAGAAGGCAGGCGCAGGAATAAGTTGACAATACTGTCCATCAAAATCTTTGTGTTGGGTCAAGCATCATGATTCAATGGTCAAAAAATTTTCTTGCGATTGTGTACATGGAATATCACTCTTTGATTTCGACACAATTGAATTTGGAAAATACCAAAACTGACAAGTAAAGACTCCTTTTCGAAAGAAAGAGGAAATATCCTGTGATCAGCTGGCTAATGTTAAGGCATGTTATTGTCTTCTTTCTTGCTTCTGCTTTAAGAGAGAATTTGCATTACTATATACCTTTCAAGATTATATGACTGCTTCTGTTCACAGTTATCAAAATAGAGGACTTCCTTGGCCAGAGCATGAATGTCAGATTTTAGGGATCTAGTTTTTATATATTTTTAATGTGGTTGAAAGAAAATTCTAGTTGTTTTATAGATATTTTAGCTATGGTTGGTTTGAAAATGTCAAATTTTATTAAAAAAAAAGAAGCAGAGCAGTAAGACCATGAGAATCATGTTTACTATCCTTTAATTTGGCCAAGAATTATGAACATGACTTAATTGACATAAAATTGATCTCTATCAATCTTGTATGTGGACTATAATCTTTGCTTTGGATGGTACTGAAATTATTTACAAATGGATCTAACACATCAAATTATTGGATGGTAAGGAAAGTTTTCCCTTTGAAAGGAGGAGAGCGGAGATCCCAATTACACGTAACGATTAGCAGCTACCTGGCTACAATGAGGAACCATACTTTTCTCATCTTTTTTTAAATTTTTATTTAAGAGTCATTTGCATTGTTATCTCCTTGATATTAGATATTTGGCCCTTTTTTCTTCTTTCTCTTCACCCTTTTCTTCTTTTTTGCCTGTCTTTTGGGGGGTTACTCTATCGTTGCAATTGAACTGAACCAGTAATTTAAAATTTTACCTTAGTTATTTTCTTTTAATTTAATTTAATTTAATTTTTATTTTGATATTCTCTTTATTTTACAATGTATGATTTCCACTTTCTAATGCCTTTTGCCAAATAGGTTGTGCTACAAATAGGTCTCCAGAAGGAGAAGACTTGTCCATGCTTAAAGGCCTCCACGTTTAAGATGGCATTTGCATTATCAAAATGATCTGAGCTATTATGGAAAATTAGCTGACACAATTAGGTAGTTTTACGTAGACTAATAAGATGAATATCCTGGTCAACAATTTTCTCCGAACACCTAAAGTAAGCAAAAGACAAAATAGCAGGATAGGTTTAAATCAAGAAGAACCACTTGCACAATAATCAATGGGCCATATACAACAAAAAATCATGTTGTTTGGAGTGCATTTACGTTAACAAAAAATCATGTTGAAATTATTGTTCAATGCTATGTTTCTTCGAATTTGACCATTGTTACATGAAGGCCATGTACAACATCCAACACATTTGATACTTTTTATATGCAAATTGAGAAGTAATTTCAAGTTGTTCAACACATGTTTTATGATCTCATTTCACAAAGTTTCCATTTCTCTCTTGGATACAGCCTTGATTCTTCTTACAGGTGTTCGTCACACAAGATCAATCTTATTTGAAGTTAATAAATTATCTCAAAGTTGTTTATGTGGCATATTGACTTGCAATTTCTGACAGTTTTGTTAGTTAGAATCATGATTATTCTGTAGGACTTCACTGGGATCTTGAATATTCAAAGAACTTCAATAACGTGGACAAGTCAATTATGCAATCCTATTCCTGCAAGTACAGAGGCTATTTTTGTGACTTTAACTGTGGTCATCCAACAAATTTACTGTAGTGCCAAAACTTATCCCCAATACATGAATAATTACGTTCCTCTAAATTAAAAAAAAGGAATATGACCAATTTCTGAATGTTAGATTGTATAGAAATCTAAGTCATAAACTTTGAGATCAGCATTGATGTTTGAGATGGGATCAGGATTATGAGTCTAGCATTGAACTTGCATCATGTAGAGCAGACAGCTATGTTTGTCCATTTCTTTTTCTCCCAGAGGGCAACCCTGCATCTAACATCACTGATTGGCATCAATGTAAAGTCTAGCTTGTCCATTTCTTTTTGTGCTCTTTGTAAGCATGCTCATGGACTCGTATTTGCAAGGTATAATTGGCATATCCCATATTGGCAGGAGCCATATGTTCCATCCTTTCTTTTCTATTGGCAGAAATTTTAACCTAGTGTTGCATGTATAATTTGTTTGTTTTTGTTTTTTGGTTTGAAGTTCCAGAAATGCAAGATGTTACTGTTCTGCACTTCTATGACAATGTGGAGCAAGTTAATTTTGTAATTTTACTGGTCTCGGAAGGTGCTGTCTAAATTACATGTTGTTCATACAGCTACTTGTGAACTGCTAATAGTTTTTTTTCTTGCTGAAGTGAATCAAGCATGTTATTCTCCAATCCGTGGAAAATTTCTTTGGACCCCATATTTAGTGTTCTCTTTGACTGCTTGCTGCTGTAGCCACATGGAATCAGATTCTGTGAAAATTGCTGTTGAAGGAGTTTGAATTGTGTAAGAATGAAAACTGTGATTTGTTTATCATGGACACAAGCAAGCATCACAGACAGGAAACTTCTCTTTTTAAAGAAATGCATCTAGTGTCAGAAGCAACGGTAGATAATTGTTCCTTTCAATCATAATATTCAACTTACAGTTGTTCTGTGAAGAAATTGGCCAACTGTCCTTACTCTTTTTCTCTGAAAATCAATCTTAATATTCGTCATGGACTGCAGCTGTTGATGTAGCACAAGCTTTCTTACAAACGTAGCAGTTGGAGCTTTGGTGAAGCAGAAGGAGCTGATGTATTTAGTGTGCAAGGTCTCTTAGTTTGACTTATGTTTGAAATTCAATTTGCAAGATCAACAATTTGATCCCAAATATTTCAGGCTTCTATCACTTGACATATGTTTAACTATTATTTTTTTCTAGCATTATCTGCAGCATCCTCATTATTTCTAATCATGGTGACTGGTCTGTGGCACATAATGCTAAAGAAAAATAACATGAGTGGTCCAGGTTATAGAAATAATAAGGAAGCGGCACATAATGCTCATAATGCTAATTATCATGATATACCTAGAAATAATGACGTTGTGGCACATAATACTAAATTAGCATTATGTAACCCAACCTCATTTTTTTTAGCATTGTGTGCTGCAACCTCATCATGGTAACTGTTATATTTTTAGCATTATGAACTTTAACTGTTTATAGGTATGCATGACTGGTGTGGGTTCATGAATAAAATGCATGAAGTTGCACCTACCCATCAACAACCTGAGCTTTTGCTGAAGCTCTAGATGGAGCCTTATCATGCCACTTATGTATAAGCAGTTCCAGAGCATTCTCAAAATGGGTCCTTTAGGCATTGTACTGAATAATTTACCTCTAACTAGTGTTTCTTTACCATTTTTTGACAATAACAACCATTTATTTTATTCCATCGTATCTGGTTGGTTTAATTTATGGTCACATAGATAAATACTGTAGATTCTACACGCCAGAACTATGTTTCCTCTACTCCTCAAAGACTTTAGCTGCATGACTGGCTGTGCTCTAACTTCCTTTACATTTTGCTCTTCTTCATGGCTCAGAATCTTTTTGCTTTCTGCATAATCTGGTTCTTTTTTCTAATCCTTTTTCAGCCATCTGTTGATGAACTTGGTATACTGTCATGTGGAGGTCTTGTCTTGCTACCTGGTTTAATGCCCAAGTGATCCCTAAAGGCCATGAAAAGGAATGTCAACCAACAATCAAGCTTTATACAATGACTATGATGATGAATTCCATGACAAATGCAGGTAATGTGTCCCTTAATTCCCTGCAGTTCTGGAAAGATTTGATTCTATGGAGATGCTATATATTTCACTGCTCTTTTGTGCGACGCAGAGCCTGAATCTGATGAATGAATGAAGCCTGTGCATTATGGATTGCGAAAATGCTTAGAAAAGGGATTTGTAGCAAGATGATGCAGCTCAGGATGCCAAAGAAAGGTGAATTGAGCACATTGTCCTGGAATACGTGAATAGAAGATGATCCCAAGTATTGACATGTGAGTTGTCGTTCCTGCTGGGATTAATCCACGGTTTCTCTCAGACAATCTTTGATTAATTTTTGATGTCTTTGCCTTGTTGTGCCTCCTTGCAATTAGTATGATTATTATGGAGGTTCAATCTACCAGCCCGAGTGTACAAATAAAAAATATTAGATATTTGGGTTAGATTTAAGATGGCTTCAGATACATGAATGGACAAGGGAAACTTGCAACCATTCAGGAGTGGCAATAGATTTCTTTTTTCGTACTACCGTGTAGAGCTCCAAGTTTTTTGTCTTGCCAATAAAGTTTGTATGTTTATGATACCACACAACTTAAGCAAGAAGTTTAATGTGTGACAATACCAAACAAATATGTATTAGGCAAATATATAATTCATACTACTTGGTGTCAGCTAAAAACTTATCAAAAAGTAGTCACCAATTGATACCAAAACATATGCCCCAAAGCACTTGAATACTATAGATTGTTCCTCTAAGACTGTTCTGATTTAGATTCATGTTCGAAGAATATCCATCATCCGTTCTATCATACAGAAACGGACCAAAGGCACTTTTTAAAGCCAAACTATAAGAAACCAGCCGAAGCAGATGCAAATTAACATGTTTCACAAAATTCTCAAAGAATAACCAAACAAATTAAATATAATTTACTTGACTCCGAACAGCCTAACAAAATGTGTCGGAACTACAAGTGCAAATAAAAAAAGAGTTTGTCTGACGATAACCACGATGAAGATAATATGCAGACATCGGCATTAGACCACTGTTACATAGATAGGTCTATATTGTCAGGACTTTAGGTTCTGCAAACGTTTTATGGTACAGATTCTCTTGGAATGGCATGTTCCTTCTGAAGAGCAAGAGATATGCCTCTTATCGTGTTCGGAGTAGTCCTGCAACAGCCTCCAATCAGGCAGGCTCCAGCTTCATGCCATACTTGAACATAAGAAACAAAATCTTCATCGGTGACACCAGTGGATTCCTGCAAGGAAATTAAGAATCACAATTTGAAGATTTGGTCTAGGTTAATATGCTCTCTCTAACAAAACCACTGGTTATATAGGCTGGTTCCTATGCAATACTTGCATGCTGTTACAGCTGATAACCAATATAAACCGGCCAGGCTTTTGTGACAAGATACTCTTCAAAAGATGAGATCTTGAAGACAAATTTCCTGACTGCCACTTTATGAATTTAGTGCATGAAACCTTAGGTTTTCGGCTAGATCTTTATGCTCTGGTAATATTTGTAAATTATAATAAATTTAGATAAACTAAAACCCTGATTTTGATAATTTGAACTGATGTCTGGGAAGAGAAGACAAATATCCAGAGTATGAGGGATTAATACCACCAAAAGGCAGGAGATGGCTTGCGTACCTAACTACAGAATTCATCTGATGGCAGTGATAGAAAAGTTACAGACAGTTCAAGATAAAAGGGAATTTTGAGCAGTTCAATGCTTCTTTGGTATATATAAATTATGACCTTCCTCTAAGAATTTTGGATGTGCTAAACTGCTAATATTACATGTTTGGATAATCAAGATTCACCTTACCACCATAAACTAGAAAATTTGTCCTAGTCCAAGTTATGCATAGACATCTAACTTAATAATGGAAAGAAAGATGTCAAATATTGTTTGTCCAAAGAAGTGCCATATGAAACATCAGTTATCTGACAATGACTTTGCAACTGTCAACTTACCACCCATTCCTTTTTATCAGCATCATATCTCTCTCCACTATTTGGATATATCAAAATTGGTTTCTTTGTCACCTGTAAATTCAGCAATCAAAAAGTTAAAGTGAACATTATGCATTGTGCATATTTTCTGTTCAAAAGATATCATGACCACAAGAAAACAACCAACAAAGAATAGGTTTAAAGCAACTTTACTAATACCAGGAAGACTGCATCTGATTGACAGAATATAATAGAAATTTCTCACTATTCTTATGCTTATGATACAAAAAACACATGCTTATGATAAATGTCAGTCACGCTGCTATGAAGCTTTCTTTCAACTCTAGAACCTTCAGAGAATCAGAGTTGATGCTGACAATCATTTTTAAGACATGCAGGGATCTTGAATTCCCAGATGGAATTTAGTTTGCAAACAATGAGAATATCTGTGAATGAGAATTAAATGTAATCAATTTGTACATAAAAGAACAACTCAGACAACACCACTGCCGGAAAGTGAAATCATTTAACACAATGATAACAGAGTTATTTCCTCAAGATGCCAAATACAGTTCAAAACAAGTAAAGCTCAATCAACATTTATGTTTGCAACAACTCATGTACATTTAGATTTCCACTGTAGTCTTTAAGTAATTGAAATTGTAAGCTTCATAAGTATGATGCCTTAGTTCCCTAACAATCTACACAAGAAGAATTAATAGTTGACACTTAATCGAGTCCTAACTCAAAACAGAGCCCTATTGTGTGTGTGTGATTTGGGGGGGAGGGGATGCCTGTGGAGGCTGCGCTTGAAAGAATAATTCAGCATATATACCTCACTGAAGCCTTATTTTGCTGATCTTTCTTGATAAGAGTACCCAATACTTGTTTACATCCAATCAGTCATGATCCAGTCCAGTGATTGAAAGAGGCGCTCGGGCGCTCGCCTAGGCGCTCGGGCGAGGCGAGGCGAGGCCCGAGCGCCTCGCTAATGTCCCAGGCGGCACGCTTCAAACAGGCGCCGCCTGGGCGCTCGCCCGAGCCCAGGCGCTGGGCGCTTCGGGCGAGCGCCTAGGTAAACCAAGTGACCGACCAAGATTTTAGGTCTGGTTTGATCCTGGTTCGGTTGTTAGTTGGTTCAATCGAACCAACTAAACCGATATAACCCTTACCCAACCCTAACCCGCTGCCGCTGCCGCTCCCGATCTCGCTGCTCGTCGCTCCTGCTCCCGCTGCCGTTGCTCGCGCCTCCCGCGAGCCCTCCAACTGCTCGTGCCTCCCGCGAGCCCTCCCACTGCTCGCGACTCCCGCGAGCCTTCCCTCTACTCGCGACTCCCGCTG